CTTGAGATCAGCATTCAGCACATACATTGCCAGTAGCTCTTGCTGTCCAGTATGGGTGGTTATAGACCAGTTAGTGCTAAGTATAACATTACTGGATACAATCGTTAGGCAATGGAGTGTACCATATCCCAAGTCTCCTTAGGTTTAGTGAATAAAGTTTAGTAGATAACAGTAGAGATAAAGCATTATTAGTAGATGAGTATAGTTGAGATCAAACTCTGAATTACTATCATTAATATTGCTAATCACTTCATGACACTGAACTTGAGATGGAGAAACAAGGTAGATCTATACAGCATCACTGAGCCATTCTACTCTTCCAACTGTGGCTCCTAATACAAACCATTAAATTATACAAAGCCAAAGGATTATATCTGAATATGTGAATTAGTTCATGTACATGCATTGTCTATGTATGTGCATGATCCAAAAATTTTTCCTTTTTGAAAATTTTTACATCTAAACAATTTGTGTGATTAAGAGTTGCATTTAACTTTATGTGTGATATTATTTTGCCAAGTTTTCATTTCGCAAAATTAAAGTCAGAGTACGAAGTACCAGATATATTGTACTGACATATTTATACAATGTATTATGTGTATAATACAAACTCACATCTTGCTAAATTATCACTAGATATATGTAATGGTACATAAAAATCAGTTAGTTTGGTTTCATTCTCCTTTATTTATGCATTTTACATGTGTGCATGCTACTGAATTAGTGACCAAATAAAATAGCCAATCCTACCTTCCTCATGCTGTTCCCAGTCTTGTCTCAGGGCAGGAATCATAATAGGATCATCATTGATAATTTCCAAGAAAAGAGAGACTTTCTCATCATTACTAGATACATCATTCTTTATCTTCTGTAGAAGAGGAAGGGACACTTCTTCCACTGACAGTATAAACTCTAACAAATGAAGTGACTCAAATATTGAGTGAACACAACTACTAGGAATCACTCCCTCATCACCAGGTACCAAGGATCTCCCTTCCCAATAATATGTACTCAACTTGTTACATATCTCTAGCTGCTCTCCTTTACTGAATGATATTTCATCAGCCCCTATGGCATAGTATCCACAACAAGCAATAAAAATTGCGTCATTGGTCAGTTTATGATCATCTTTCATCTGTCTCTTCATCACTTTCAGTGTATGTAATAGTTGCAGTCAGTTTTATTCATTCTGCAGTACACTATGATTATTATCAAAATATATAATCATATCATATTTGTACCAAAAATAATGCCCTCTGTTTAGATAGCTCCAAAGTATTTACTAGTTAGAGCCTGGTCTCACTTGCTCAGAGATGGTTGTTCAATCCCGCTCAAAGTATCTTTTCTATTAATTTTTTTCGATAAATTTTTTGCTGCTAAGAAATAAGCACCCGGGCGTCCAATCGGTAAAATACGGTAAATGGAAAAATCATTGCTCAGAATCAGTGTTGCTGCTGTTGCACCTTATAAACATGAGTTTTTCAAATATGTGTATTTACAGCTAGAATATATTAATGACAGGCGTTTATTTGGACCAGGCGTTTATACGGTAAAATACGGTATTATAATCATATCAAATACAGGGGCATAATTGTAATCATAATCATAATCATACCAAATGGCATGGGTGTAATTGTAATTATAATGGTAATCACATTTAATGACTGGCATGTAATTGTAATCGTAGTCACTACACATGCAGTACCATGTTATCATAGGCGTAATCATAATCATGAATTTGTAATCAACCCTAACCCTGGCAGACGGACAGACTGTTTCTCATCTTAGTGGTCTTTACCCAATTAAATAAGGTTTGATGTGGTGAATTTATGTCGATGTGCTTTTGAGTATGCATGCACATACATGCAGTAGTTTAAAATGTCAGGTTTTTTATAATGCCAAAAATTTATCCCTATACAAGCTATTATTATTATTATTACTTTCTTACAGATTATGCTGATACCCAGTAGTCATCCTGTCATATTGAGGAAGAGTTGTCTGGTAATATAAACCTGAGGACTGAGATATCTGCTTGAGGTGAAGCTGAGGGAAGATATCAGGTATTGCTTTACACTTTTTATAGTATTGATTTTTATTTATTTAGTTATTTGGTTATTTATTTAACAGGTATGGCATGATTTGTTAAAATGTTGTGCTATTAAATCATTTGATTTCGACAGTTTATCAATTCAGTATGGAGAACACAATATAATCTGTAAGGGATATATTTTTGTACATATAATGCATATAATTTTTTAAGAAAAAGTGTAATACTTTTCCCAAAAAACTGACATGCTTCTGAAATGTCCCACCCTTTGTGTATTGGGCATGCATCCCATGCTGAGGCATAGTGGCCAGCCTCAATGATTAAAAGTGATCCTCTACCTACAATGTACATGTAACTACTATTGGGAAATTAAAATGATTTCGTGGTTGAGGCTACTAGGCTTAGTGCAGACTCAGTGTGATACTCACCATGACACATCCCATGAATTAAGGCTGGGTCTGGTAGCGACATGTAGCTGGAGCAACTTGCATGTAATCTATAGGCTGATTTACACTTGCTGCACAATTAACATAATTTAAAGGCTGATTCATACTGCAAAATTAACGTGGGGTAAGGATATACACGTGTATAGCCTTACCTCACATTAATTTTCCAGTGTGAATGGGCCTTAAGGCTATATGTTAAGACAGGAAGTGCTGTATAAACCACCATTGGCCACCATTTACGTAACATTTACTTAACGTAAGAATAAAAATTATCTCTATTCTTATATGTTACATAAACGGTAGCCATTGGTATATACAGCACTTCCTGTCTTTACACATAGTCTTATGTTAAGTTAATTATGCAGTGTAAATCAGCCTTAATACTGCTGCAGGCACATGTATTATGCAGGAAGTGCAACTGCAGGAAGCTACGATGTACAGCTGTTACCCTTCAGGACCACACTATTGGGGCAAGACCACACACTGTAGGCTTCTTGTTCCTTTATTAGCAGGCCCAGACTTCTTTGTAGGAGTTATTGTTGTTTTAAAGGCTGTGTTGTGGCCAGCTCTTAACCCAATTAGAAGCCTACAGAAATTTTTAATTAAATACTTCACAGTGTTGCATTGTGATATAATGTCACTATTATCATAATTATGTTTCATGAATTGATCTCATAGCATGATTTTATATCCTAGTACAGAGTTCATGTGCCAACTTTCACATATTATATTTCTTATGAAAAGGCTACAGGGAACTCCCCAGAGCTGTGAGCTAATCAGTGGTAGCCCGTTATAAAAAGCAGGATTTCTAACTTACCCGCATGCAAGCAGTTATTAAGAGTAGAACCATCGGTACAATGAAGGCCACTGGGGTTGTACTGATACTGCTTCTCTTGCTAAATGGTAAGCTTATGATAGTTAAAATTATAATATTCCCTCCTTCCCAGGTTTTGCTAACTGTCAGAATTTTGACTATCTCATATTAATTATGAAGATGACAACATCCCCTACACTGTTGTATTTCAAGTAGAAGCGACTTATAACTCAGTAACTGGTGATGTGTGTGCTAATGGAGTCACTAATGATACTGCTAACTTAATGTGCCAGAATATGTTCGATGATCCTACTCGTAAAGCTATAGTGTAACCTACTAATGTTAATTTATACTTTTATAGTTATTCTACAAGCAACTACCACAGACTACTCCACCTTCATGTTCAATTCTGTTGCTTATAGTGTTGATTGTTCAAGTGGTATTGATACTTGTCCTGGTACTCAAGTTTCTAACTGTGATTCTTATGGAGGACTTTTAGCAGTCAAATGTGTGATATGTAAGTTAACAACTTCCTGCTTCGGTGTAAAAAATATAATTTAATCCTTTATTATACTTTATTATCATGTACATACATCCAACTTCCCACTAAATTGTTACATGATTTCTATTTTTCTTGATGAAGTGATTTAACCATATATACTTATATTTTATAGTTATGCCAGAATGCTACTCACAGTCGATAGCGATGTTAAGCAATCCAGTTAATACTACCATTCCTTCTGGTGGCTATTATGTAACTGGTCATCCTGTTACTTGCAGCTCTAGTGGTAACTATGTTCCAATATGCAACAGTGTGAACATTGGGCCATTAGAAACAATGGCTATTTGTCTTCATACAACAGGAGATTTTGGTTAGATTACACCTATTGTTGTTTATTTTTTGCTTGAGTCAATGGTACATGTACTTTCTTTGCCTTCATTGACAAATGCAGTTAGATGTAATTATCAGTCCTTATCATTTTAATATAATAATATTCCTACTCTTTAATAATACAATCATTGCAACTGAGTCCCTTTCTCTTTTTAGGTGGGTTTAATGGAGCTCCTTCTGGTATTACTGTTCCTCCTCCTACTCTACGTTTTCATGATACTGTATCTAATCAGTTTAGCTGTTCTGATGA